TTGAGCTGGGCGACCGATTTCTCCCCCGATACTGGCGTGCCGCCCATAGGCTCTTCTCTAGTGAGCCTGGTTTTATCCAGTTATCCGCATCTCAGAAAGAAAAGAAACAAAGACAATTCCTAGAGATGCTCATAGTGCTGGCAGACCAAGTTTTTAAGCCTTCTGGCAACAGTCCATCTTGCTTCCTCAGTGGACAAAGTTTAATCCATTTAAACTGTCCCTGAATGGAAACTTACCCTATGAATTTCTCACAAAACTCCAGGTACATCTGCAATGGTCTCCAAGCAATGATTTCTAGACTAGCCAAATAGCAGCTTACTCTTTTTATGTTTAACTTCTGCAGGCTGGTAGTGCTTATTATTCTGATATAGGTAACAGACCTAATAATACAGGTAAGATTCATTTTTCATCAAAAATTAATAATTAATAATTTCTGTGTTAGTTCCAGCGACTTGTTTATCAGGAACGAGGGTAAGGTGATAGAAAAGAGTATGCAGAAGCAAGGAGGATAAGCAGTGCTAGGCTAACTCCAGGGATAACAAGACGCAGGAGAAAAATTGTGCTTCTGATTAATCATGGACAGGGCTTAAAGAGTCTGTAAACATCACTGACCACTGCCCTGCGCTTGCTACAACTGCCCCTACAGAGCTGCTTCTCTCTGAGACTGCTCTCCCAGGCGACCCAGGCAATCTCCAAGACAAAAGGAAAACAAGGGTATAGAGGCCAAATACACCTCAGAGTGACAGTTCATGATGGGATCAGTAAAAGTGTCAGGAATGAAGGGGGAGGGGTAAAGGAGCAGGATGTGAACTACATGTATTTATTCTACATGAATGTAATCAAAGGGGCTACTAGAGACAGTCCTGTATCCTCTCATTATTACCAATATTCTGCAAGTGTTTACAGTTAAACTGGTACACGACACAGCCTGAGTCCAGATGTGACTTCTAGTAAAAGAGTGCCAAACTTCCCTGCAAAAACCTCAAAGGCTAAATTAGGATTCTCCAGTGTTGTGTACTTTTTAACTTTAAAATAACTTTAAAAATCCTTTAAAAACAAATGCACCTCTAGTCAAAAGACCTGAACTTGCATGTGGACGAGAAATAGGTGATCTATCTTGGGATGCCCTAATCCTGATTTTCGCCTTACATTTACTACTAAACCAACACTGCTGAATGACTTCGAGACATGCATTTATAAAATGAAGCCGTTATACTCGGTGGAGAACCTAAGCTGTGAAAAAGATTAAAAAGAAAAAAAAGAAATCCAAAACAACCAACAACAACCAAAAAAACCCCCAAACCCCCACACAGCTAAAACATTACCTGAATACGCTTTTCTTCCTCTTCCCTCTTTTTCCTCTCTTCCTCTTCCTGTTTTCTCTTTGCCTCAATCTCGGATTTCCTATTACAAAAGAGGAAGAGGAAATGAAAACATGTTATTACAATGCAAATGAACAAGAGATATGAAAGCATCTTCCATAAAATTGAATGGTAATCCAGAAGTCAGTACACACAGGACACTACATGTAAAGTCAAGAAACTTTCCAAGTCCATCTGTATTTCCAGATGCATCATATCATTTCTTCCATACTCTATTCTGGCTACACTGGGAAAGGAAGTGTTTTAACGCTGCACAGCACACCAGGAGTACAATCCAAGCAACTCTCTTTAAGCACAGGAGTATTAAAAACAACCTTCATTAAAGTGCCTTTCCTATTTTTTTCTCATTCTATAACCAGCAACTTATTCAAGACTCACAGACGTCTTTCCTCTTCTTCCTTCCTTCGTTGTTTTTCTTCCTCTTCACGTCTCTTTCTTTCTTTTTCCATTTCCTCCTGGATGCGTCGTAGCCTCTCTGCTTCCTCCTCTTGCTGTTTCTTCTTTTGCAATGCACTCAGAAGCTGCTCTGAGCTTCTAACTAGAGCATCATATTCTTTCTGTATCTGTTCCCTGGTCATTATAGTGGTCTGTAAAATGAAATAGTAAGAGGGGATTATATTCCTTCACCTTTGTACTTCATTTTTTAAAAATGTATACTGAAAAAATATTAAGTGAAATGAGAGCGCTGTGCAGTATAACTAAATTATATATACACTTTAGGGTGGGGGAGGCGCTTGAGCACATCCTTCCCTTCCTTCCTAAAATCCTGAGGATCCGTTACTCTCGTCTCTCATAAAAAAACATGCAAAGTAATCTCCATTTTATCACTGAAATTAAACATGACTTCTCTTTAAAACATGCCTTCATTTTTTAAACCTTGCCGTTTTAAGCAACAGAAATTCATTCTTACCATGCTAAGATGAAAACTAAGCATCTCCAATGTGCATTTTGTGTCACGTTCTTAGCTTCTACAGTGGTTATTTACAGCTCTGCCTTTTATGTCATAGCACAGAAAATTACTGTTTCTCTTACTATGTGTGCTAGCACTCAGAAAAAATATTGGACCATGCTGTGACTAACTTTTTTTAAAAAGGTATTAGTAGCAAATAACAGATTGAAAATACTTAAGACAATACCCTTTGCTACATATGTTTTCAAACCTCATTGATAGCTACAATTTAATTTTATTTTACGATTCACATTGATGTATACTAATAAAATTGCAGTATGGGGTGTTTGCTGACCTTTACTGAGGGTGTATCATGATGATAATCAAATTGTCTTGTTTTTATTAGAAAAGAGAACTGGAAATTGACAGGTTAACTCTATCATCTTTTCAACTGTGATTTTAAATAGAAAACTCTTAATACAGTACACTAAGAAAGCTACAACATTGCATGAAACAAAAATTCAACACATCAAATTTTTTCTAACATTAATAAATCCCAGTGTGCTTTCATTTTGTCCGTGTGCTCTTGTGGCAAGAAACAGAGAACTATAGACCCTGAAGCATAATCAGCAAGCTGAATTCTCTTTACTACCACGTCTGAAAAAAACTTGTAACTGGAATATAAATCTCTTCACTCTGTGATAAATGCTTGTATGTTTCAGCCCTGATTAATTTAAATTTTTTTAAATCAATAAATTGCATTATTCCAATAATAAAAGCAACAAGCAAATTATTAACAACACTCGTCTCACAATATCAACATGCATTTTTGCTTTAAATTCTCCAGTGCCAGTTTTGAAACAAAGATAATAATACCAAAGTCTAGACGTATGCACCCAGTTTCAGGATCCACTTCAGTTACATTCACAAATAATTTTAAACAGGATTTACCCAGTGCCTCTGAAAATTAAGAGTTCTATATTAAAATGTCTTTTCTATTAAGAAAAATACATTGGCCTTCTACTTTAGATTAAGTTTTTAAAAGATTCCAGTATTAAGAAACTATTTCTCTGATTATTATCATACCTTAATTTTGGTTATTGAAGCATCAATAGAATACTCCAGCTCCTTGACCTGCTTGCTTGTCTCTGCCTTCCCCTCTTTCAGAGCACTTACTACTTCATTAAATTTATCAAGTCTCTTCTTCAGCGTACGCACTTTTATCAGGCCATCAATGCTGTGAAGGTAGGACAGTTTATTTGTATCTTGACATGTTTTTACAAGGTGGTATTTTTAAAACTATCATTCACATTAACGAAATAGGGGAGACAAGTTATGCCTTCTGATAACACTCACCCTTTTTTTTTGAAATTGAAACATTATCACATGAAGCAGCTAAGCAATGGAGCCTTTTGCAAACAATAATTAGCAATGGAAAAATGCATTTTTATTTTGAGAATTATTGTGGGGTTTGTGTTTTTTTTTTTTTTCCCCCAATAACAAATCATTAGTATTCACTAGAGGATTTTGACTGGAGTGGACAAAGGTTGAGTTGTGCCACTCACTCAAAGAGCAATAATGGGACTGAATCAGATAAAACTACACAGCAGGGAACCCAGTCATTAGACCCCACAGGGAAAAAAAGAAGTCTGGGGAAAAGAAGATTCCAGGAAAACTTGGAGCTTTTTGAAGAACCAATACTGAAGGCCACACATGCAAATTACAACTCTGCAGAGACACTCTTCCTAGAAGGAAATCACTGAACTGGGCTTCAGGAAAACAACACACAAAAAGCAGAAACCAAATCAAATCATTAAAGATGAGGACAGAACAGCTTAAAAATATAGGGACATGGTCAGAAATGCCAAGGTACAAAATGAAACATAACTATCAAAGGATGTAAAAGAAAACATTTTATAAGAACCCCACTATTAAAGAACATAGTGTTGGATCTCTATCAAAGAACAAAAAGGTGCCAGCACAGCTTAATGATCGAAGTGGTTTTTCCATCAGTATTCCATGCAGTCAGATTAAAGCTAATGGAATTACTTAATTTCAAGAGGAGACAAGACAGACAGAACACACAATTATTTTTAAGATAAAAAAGAAAGGGAGCTATAAAGGAAGGTGTGAATGGGTAAAGGACAAAAATTAATGAGCTTAAATTTCGTTTAGAGAGACTTAACTAAGGATTTCTAATAACTAGGCTATCACTGAAGGATTTTATGAACAAAGAGCTAAACAAACATCTCTTAGGAAAGGTTCAGATTTAGTCTATTCATCCTTGGGAAAGAGAGGAGGAACACGACACCTCTCAAAAGTCTCTTTCAGTTGTACTGAGCATCATTCTATGACTTCAGATATATTTAGTTAAGCATAGTAAATCTCCTCTTTACATTCACAAGAAAGTATTATTAAAAAATCCATTTTCTTCAACCAAGGAATATCCTCTTACCGTGGTTTGTGCTTTCTCTTGCAAAGCCACATCCGAATAGTCTTTTGTATTTTAATGCAGGCACTGGCTCGATATTTTATCTTATTTTTCACTGTAAACACACAGCAGATACTGAGTCTCAGTGGTTTATACTTTGGTTTAACAATGGTTTACAACGGTTATACAATGCTTTAACACAACTCCTGTATTACTCACACACTTGATGGCTCAAAACTGTATGTAGACTACGTGGGCTTGAGAGCTAGGTCTATACCGGAACCACAACACTTAAGACACAGCAGACAACAGAATTCACAATCCTGAGCCAGGCATAGAGGCTCCCGCCCAAAACAAACAGAAAGAATTAAGCGTGTGCACACTCACAAATAGTGCCACACTATCAATACTAACAGGCACTTTTTTGCTGATCAGCAGCAATTGCTGGAGTGGACATGTTTGCCTTGTAATTCATGTCAGTGCTTTCAAACATGCAGTTTCTGTCCAGAGATGACAACCTCTGTGCAGGCACTTCCCAGAACTAAATGACTCCATGTTGTCAGCTGAGAGTTGAACTACTGTTCTTCTGCTGATGTAGAAGTCTTCCCCACAAGACCTGTAATAGCTAGTTATTTCTGTGCAAGTGTTTACCCAGGCTTCAGTAAGCACCCAAGCAGACTAGACACAGGAGATTGGTGGTGGGCTGTATGTCCCACTTTTAAAAACCTCTGCTCTATGCCCCCCTATATGTACCTAACATAAAGCATAAAAAAAATCTCACCATCCTTGAAAGCAATTACTCAAACTTTAGTATGTAACCATCTGCTATACATGTCCTTAGCCACATTTCAAGGTAATAACTGCTTTGCTATATTTTTAACAAACATTTTGATTTAATAAAACATAAAATACATACATTTAATCACTGAGAGAGAACACCATTGAACTTTTTTCCAACGACTGCAGATAAGCCAGCGATTCACTCGTTTAACTAGCTCTGCTAAGTGATCTGGATCAGACTTCATTATCTGATCAAACTCTGCAAACTAAAAAAAAAAGTTTTACAAATGAGGAGAACAGAGAGTGTTAGACATTATTATTTAAGAGCATGTTGAGTTAAAAAGGTAAAATATTTTTAATGTAAACTGTATATCATCATTATATCAGCTTTCAATTAGTTCAAGTGAGCAGGTACGTCTGGCATCACTTTATTCTTTAATGATAACAGAAATGACTACTAGGGTTTCTTGTTTGTTTGTTTAATTGATGTGCAACAATTAGCATTTTGAATAATCCAACCATTTATTAATCACTAAAAATATTTATTGCCAAAATGTTAAAAAATTAATTGTTTCTCTACATCCTGAACATTTACTCTGGTCTTCCACAACTTCAAGACACCTCTGATTTTGCATCTGGGAAAAAATAAAGCCCTGAAAGCACTTCTCAATTTTTAACCTTTGTATAGGAGTCCAACTAAAGGCAACCTTTCTGAAAATCCTACACTTCTACTTTTTGGTAATTATGACATTCTTCTGGGACTACAATCATTTTCCTTTCTAGTCACAACAGCTCCCTACTTCATCTCCTTTCTCTGCATAGCAGCAGCAATGCTTAGAATCACAGAAGGAGATTTCACCTATAAATAGATTTTACTAGAAAGTATTTTTCCTTTGCTCTGACTTGCTCTTTTTAATAGTCAACAAAAGTCTTAAGTGACTGGTAGAACATCTGGAAATACAAACATTGCATTAGGAATACAGCAGCATTAGCAAGAAGACTATGAAACCAATTATATCAGCTCTTATATATATTTTTTTCATAGAAAATTAACAGTATTTACAAAAAACCCAGGGCAACCTTATTTAAGTTGGCCACACTTTTACCAATGTGTTGAACAATGTCACCTTCAGAGGTCCCTTCCAACCGAAATTATTCTAAGATTCACATTCATGAACTCCAAGAGAAACGTTACCTTGCCGGGTCTAAAAAACACCTTGGTTAACCCAAATTTGAAATCATTTTCATTCAGTCCCAAGGCTTTAAATAGTGCCTGAAACACAGAAAACAGTTAGGATTATATTCTGCCTCCTTCAAAAAAAAAAAAAAAAAGAAAAGTTCAAAAAACACAAAAAAAACCCCCACAATACATTTTTTGTCCTGGATGATATAGAAGAAGAATTAATTTCTTTCTTACCTTGCAAAAAAGCCTAGGATCCAGTCGAGCCAATTTTTCTGGCAAGTATTTCTTGTACATATTATATAGTTCATGAAATGAAGCTCGCGAAGGGAAACCACCTTGCATCAAATCCAGAACAGACACCATTCCTAGATTCGTAGAAGCACAGGCACAAAAGTTGGTATCAGTAAAAGCGAAGCGATGATTTTTATGATAACCGGTAGTTTATGACATAAGCCTCAATGACATTGTTCAGAGACTAAACCACAAAGTTCAGCTGGGACTTGATCTAGCCTCTAACATTTCTTGATCATGTGATCATTCACAAGAAGTTAATACTGAACAGATGAGAAGAGTGCATACAATTTTCTCCCTATTTGAGAGGTAAGTAACACCCAAGCATGCAGAGGATCTTTTTCTAATATTTCTTCTAAATATTTTTTTTCTTTTTAGCAGACTTGACATTTTCATTTTTAAAGAGAAAAAAAAAAAAAACAAAACCAAAACAAACAATGCCCAGCCAAGCTTTTATTTTCATCATGTCAGTGATATTTGTGAGATGTGGTACAGATGCAGCGTCAAAAACATATGCAGTGCTAGAACATTTAGTGTACTTGCAGAACTAGGTATAAGCTGCTAAGATGTAATTTTAATGTCTCATTTTGGCTCCAACTAGGACATCAGTAAAGCACAGACACAAAGTCAGCAAAAGGTTTAAGTTACTTTAAGTAGCACAGGCCATGCCAGTTTTTGCCCACTGCTTTACATAACCCTATCAACAGATTTTGCATATAAGTTTTTAAGTTAGCCCTTAACTTGTGGTTGCTGTCTTTAAACTTAATCTTTTGCATATTTGCTTTCAATGAAAATTTGATTTGTTTACACCAAGTCTTTCTTTTTTAAAAATGATTTTATAGCATTACATCTTGCTCTTTTAGCATTCCGTATTATAACTTTACTAGATTCAGCTTCATTTACTGTTGCTAAAGTAAGCACATATGGAAAAGTGAGCTTGTAAGATCACTGTAAAACACTGCAATGGGGGAGGGGAGGGCGTAATTTGTTATTTTTTCCTCTCTGACATGCCAAATGCTGTTCACCTGAAGAAACCTACTGCTAATGATGTTAATGGAATTCTAATTGCTGAAAAGTTGTTAAGCTTTTGTGACGATAACTTGACATGTTAAACATGTGGACTTGTCAAAACATCAGCTGCTGAAAAAAGGACTTCAAAAAGAGAAAAAAATTAAGCACAAGCTGCTGAAAGTACAAAAATACAGAAAAGGGAAAAAAATAAATATTGAAGAACTTTGATGAACGAATACCCTATGAAGAACAACAATACTAGCACTCTTAATTCCCAAGCAAGCAGTTCCTTCTGCTGTTCAGTGGGGCATGAGCAAAACTGCTAATATTCATTCTTTAAAATAAAGCTGTAATATTGGAAAGCGCCTAGCATTTCAATAATGATGAAAATGCAGCATTGCAATCTGGAGTATATAAAGCAACAGGAAAAACTATGCTGAAGTGCCCTTGATGGAAGTTCAGCTCCAAATCAAATTAACAGTGGTATAAAAAAATTTTGAAAAATTAAAACAAGGTAATTAAACTCTACCATAGTATCCGCAAAATCAAAGAAAACAGGTGTGTTTCAATTATTAGATATCTCAGCTAATACTGACTGCCTCTAAATGCACACAGGAGTTTCTAACACTTCAACTGCCACAGTAATTATTGTTCTGGACTGAACTGCTGCCCTATTCACATTGTGGGCAACACAGAGAGATGGGATTCAGCTCCAAGTCGGGAAATCTAAATTTATGTACCAATATATGGCTACAAGGCTTCTTACATATGCACATGATGTCTGAACTCTCATTATAATCAATGGAAAAACAGTTGACGGAAATTACATCAACTCTCCTTGCGAAGAAGAGACCTTATGGCTGTTCAGATGAATTATTTCTAGGGTTCTATTGACTAACATGAGAGCTAAGTTACTAAGAAGCTAAATAACTGTTCATAAGGCATAAATAAGCTACCCTCTAGAAAGCAACAGTTCAAGCAAGGAAATACTGCTTCCATCTCACATATTTCAAACTCAGGTCAATCTATAATGCCCAAAGTAATAAATAGAGGGGAAAAAAAAAAAAAATCAGAGGCATACACTACCTGAACACTGAAGCTGAGAGAGGATCTGTCCTCCTTCAAAATGGTGATTTGTCATCTTTAAATTAGGTTTGATACAGCGAATAAAGCTAGACCCCTATTACCAAAACAAGAAGTTAGCAGAATCTACACATTTTTAAACCTCCTGGAATAACAGTTAGTCATTTAAGAATTGGGGGGGGGGGCGCAATACAAAATTACAAAATAATAGTATTCTAAAAGAGAAATGCTGACATTCTTTTTCCCCTCATATATCAGTTTTGCACTCTAGCCTTGGTCTTGATGTAACTCATCTCAATGCTCAAGCTATTAATTGGATCCTCAACTTTTGAGTTTTCACTCAACTGTTCTTCTTAACATTAGTACAATCTACTTACAATTTAGCAGTCTAGATTCTACTACCCTCATTATCTTCTACAGTCACATCACCTAAATGCCTCAGTCCTCCAGAGTTCATATCAGTGAACATGCTACCAGCATCCTGACATTGGAATCATGCTAGATGAACTTGACCTTCCTTTCTTCTAACTTTCACTTTTTACAGTTTCTTTTGGCTCATGGCTTCATTCTCCCTTCCCCCATGTAGTTCCAGTCTGCTCCTCTCTTATCACGCTGTGTGCTACCTCCACAATTTTGACCACTGCTTTCTCTGATCATTTCACATTCGTGAAGGATGACATTTTTGCAAAACACCATCCAATTATTCAGATTTTCCTATAACAGGTGGCTGCTAACGATAACCTACCTTATATACTAAAACAAAATTGGGACTGAGAAAACATAGTATTACTCCTGGTTTGCAGTGTCTTCTCTCTTTTTCCATCTCTCAGCTGAGAGTAAGAGAGCACCTGCCAAGGGAGTTCTATATTAACAATACATCCTCAGTTATGGGTTAGCTAAACTCAGAGTATAGCAAGCCTGGCCACATACTTTTTCCCTGGACTGGGTCTCAGTTCCAGATTGTTCTGTGTGAAAGATCATCTTTCTTTCAGACCAGCCTCACAAGCACAATAAAATCTTAATGTCAGCTACACTGCAGCACCTGTCCCATTTGTTTCCCATGTTTTTCCTCCTCCTTCTTTTTTTGACAGAGCATAACCTCATATCTAGAATTGGTTAGAACATGCAGTCAAGAGAAACAAGAATGTGTTCCTACAAGTTCTTAAAAAAATGGGTATGTTGAACTACATGGAGAATTCCACAAACTATCAAATTACATCAGCTAAATTAGCAAATACTCATTAGGGGAATCAGGTTCTTTGACCATCTGTGCATTTACAGCCTATCACAAAAGTGAGATGAAACATTTTATTTTTAATGGCTTTATGGAATCTGAAAACAGTACTTAGTAATAAATTATCATCTGCCTTACTTCTAAATAACATCTCTAAATCTTCTGCAAATTAGTCATCAGTGATAACCAGTGAATGGAGGGAAGTAGAAGTGACAAAAAAGGAGATTGCAGCCCAGACAGATTTCATATTGTTTACTCAAATTGTGTAACATCCATTCTACAACAACTTTTTTAAAGGTGGTGGGTTTTTTTTAAAGTAACTCAATAATCATCATCTGCACAGCAAGACGTTTCAAAAGTGCCATGTAACTGCAAACTCTAAAGCAATTACTTGTCACATTTATTGTAAACCATATTATTAAGGTAATCAATTATGACTTATGTCAGAAAATTTTGAACCTGCATCTGTATGTATACTTACAGTACTGTGAAGCTTCTCAAGAAGCAAATTTAACTGAGTCTGTAAAAGAAAACAGATATTTCAAGAGTCTTACCATGACAACTACAGAAATAAACACACAGAATAGTGGTATAGCATTACTGCATGCATGTTTATTGTTAGTAAATCAGACAATTGATAAATCAAACATTCACAAATTTTAACAGACAAAATCATGCAAGTGTGCATGAATGGTCCTGAGGAAATTGCTTGTGTTTAGTTGTACAACAATACTGTACGGACTAGTTACTTACTACAACATAGTTATCAAAAAAAAGTGCAACCCCTTTTGGGAAAATAAAGGAAATAATGCCTACGTAATAAAATTATAAAGAAAATGAGACTGACCAGCAATAATTAAAAAAAATACACTGAAAACTTGTGAAAGCCCAAATTTAATCTATAACAGGCATATATTTGCATGTTAAATAATTAACACAGAAAACAGATATGCTCGGGGTTTGCTTGGGGTTTTTTTGAAGCTAAGTCAACATTTTGGTGAATGAACTTGCATAATCTATTTTTAATTCCAAACTTCCAAATTTTTAATTCTCTGTTGATGACAATAGACTATAATTTTAAAATCACATTTACTGAGGCTGGATTTAAACACGCTGTAATGAGAAAAGACCACAGTCCTATGATTATTTGGGGGCAAGTCTACAGGATCACCAGAGACTTAAAGCTATCAAGGAAAACGAGTTACAGTTGCTATTGAATGTAATTGGTAGAGACTTAAAATATTCCAGAACCACATCAGGAAAACAGCTATACTTTTACTTTACGGATGTGTCTATTTTATCACATAGATTACTGCTGTGCCAGCCTTTCTAGTTTACCAGCAAGCATTAAGCATATAGACTGAAATAAGACAAAATTCTGTATGTGCTAAAACATATTCCTCATTTTCTGTACTGGAACCAAAATTTAAAGGATCTGACTTTTGACTAATTTTTTTTTAACCAGATCTTTCAACTACCTTGATTCCAAGAAACTAGATTTGAATGGGCAATATGCATCACCTACAGCTGCCAGTCGTCCTTCCAGTGGTTAAAATTGGTTTGGGTTTTTTTTAACTTATCATGGATATGGTTAGAAAGAGAGAAGGAGTGCCAAAAGAGGCATGACAAACACTAATAACCTCCTGCTCAGTTCTCACTTACACATACTCTTTATATCTCTACTTGAATATAATTTTCATGTTTTCTTCAGTTAGAAATGCTTAATTTTGGAAGGGACAGCCTAATTTCCATCAACAAAATACATTTCAGCTAGAGGAAAAATACCCCTTCCTTATACTCTGTGATTTGACAAGAAATAAGGCAGAGCCATTCTCAGGTAAATTTCACTAATGAAATGATCATATGAATAAAACATATTGCTAAAACTACTGCTCTTTGAATTATCACGATTTAATCCATCATTACCGTAGTAAGGTAAAATCATCCCAAAGATTCTTCAGTGGATCTGATGAACTAATCAATCATTATTTCCTTAGCTGATTTATGAGAATTAACTTTAATTAGTTATAAGGAAGGGATGTGTGAAGGATTTCATAAAGAGAAGTCCCTGCAACATCATCTAATAATTGATGTAATTAGAAGAATTTGAGACTGACTTACATACTAACACACTAAGAATTCTTATTCTTAAAGAGATTAAATTTCTACTAAGATAATAGAACTTATTTTGGTGTCATCTGAAGTGAAATTTTCAAGGCTATTAGTGTTCATCAGCAGCATATGTTGTGTCTGGGAAGGTAACACTAAATGAATTACTAGAAGTAACACATACATTCAAAATGCCATGAAACTTGAAAACACTGAAAGAATTATAGATTGATGGGCCAGATCCAAAGAAGACTTTAGTCACGTTCTAGGTGCAGAGGTGAACACCGAAGTCCAAAAGGCAATCCAAAAAGTTCCCCACTCAATTGCTGCTTAACATAAAAAATTCCTCCCTTTTTACTTCAGCCCTCCTTGGACAATGGTATCATTCACATGTCCACACCTACTGGATGTGGGGTGTTAAATCCAAGAGGAATCGAAAACCCAGATGGAAGAAAGTGGAAGCTATCTCAAAGATCCCACAGTTGGTTTCACTTTGAAAATGCAGTCATAAAAAACAATGGATCCTAGCTTCACCTACAACAGACTCATGGTTGCAGGGTTTGCTCAGGAGATGGCTTATCTGTATGTAATTCCATTTTTCAGTCTGCCTTCTGATCACGCATTTTATATTAAACCAATTGCTACAGTTTAATTCTACAACCGCTATATAAGAAGGAGGAGGAAATAATTGTCAGAGCAAAACTTAAGAGAGCAGGCTGCCCAATTCCCAGTTAAATACCAAAACCACTACCTTACAAGTCAGACTCTGTCTCCTACTCTTCCTGGCCCCATCAAAATTTTATTTCTGGCTACATACAACCCATCTCCAGAATGGTATGAGGAGAATCCCCTTTGTCAGACTGCCCAATAACTTGGTGCTACGGGAAATACAGTAGACATAAAACACTGAATACAGTATAAACCTGAAGCAAAATACTGTTGCTACACAAAAAGGAAGTGCTGCTACCATATCCTTCCTGTTCTTCAGCCCCTGCTTTTTTAGAGAACAGTTCTAAACACTAGCCACAAGATACAATTATGCAAGAAGGAATTTATCTTGCACTGATTCAGCACTTAACCTTGACATGGAGCAGAAATGCAGAAACGCTCTTCTGCTATTGGCAGTGCTCCGCTCTACAAGAAGGTTTTTGGATTGTCTAAGATACCTGCTTTCCCCAGGGACTGCGTGATGTGGGGTTTTAGGTGCTCTAGGTAAGGTAGCATACCAAAAATGTGCAGCACTTGACTTGAAGGCATACAAATCCTTCATTGGATCTGGCCCAGATGTGTTGAGAGGAGCTCTTGCTGAAATTGCAGCAGCTCTACCAGCAGAAAATCCATGAGATTGAAAAATTTACCTGCAGCCCACGGTTGTGCCTGCTTTTCATCTCTTAATTCCCCTATAGTTCTCTTTCTAGCCATCCTGAGCTGGAATAGTCCAGCTAAAATAAAACTGCTGAATGAGAAAAGGATGCAGAAAACATTTGGAGAAGACAAGGTTTGAAGGTCAGCTTTACAACAAGCAGAAGAAAGGAGAAAATGAGGAGAAGCATCAGATTCAGGTATTGAGAAAGGAAACATTCAGCACAATGAACATCTTTCTGTGAAAGCCATGACTATCTTTATATTTTAGAAGAGGAAAAACAGTGGTTAGGTTAGATATTGAATTTTGAGAATGGAAAACTGTAGCCAATTGATACATCTTCTAGAATGCACAATTAAGATAGGATAGAAGAACACCTTTTGTCACATTTAGAACCCCTTAAAGTCCACAAAATCCAAATTTAGATCTCAAGACTTTAAACTTTATGAACAGAGACTTCCATGTGGCTTTGCGGAATTCTGACTTAAAAATTACTGCATAATCTCTGTAAGGACTATTATGAAACATCTTTTTGACAGAAATGCATAGCACGTAGCTTGAATATATTGGTTTCTTATAATTCAATAGAAAAAACATCTATTTAATAAAATTTTCTTTGTATGAATCTCAAGCTACCACTAGTTGTCCCAACTTTAGGTTCTACTTATTTCAGGTAACTTAAAAGTGGAATATATTACAAGATTCTTTGCTATATTATGTTACCTTGAATTTGTTTCCCACACTGATGAAACTAAGTTTCCCAGCTTTTTGTTTGGGATCCTTGTTGTTGTTAGTGTTAGATTCAAACAGCTGTCGAACAAACTTATCCTTGGATTCACATATAAGAGATTCAAGGGACATGTGCAAAGCATCATTGTTTTTTTCCACAAATTGCATCTGGAAAGACAACCCAAAAAATAATAGTACATTTAATTATTTACAATAATAGTACACTGCCCCAGTTACTTAAGTCTTAAAGAAAATTAAAGAAAACAATGTTAATTTTTAATTAAATACTTAATTCAAAAATCAGCAAGAATATGTGGGGTCCCACATTATTTCAAACAACTTTTCAACTGGACACACGAAACATTAATGACAGAGAGAAAAGATATTCTTAAATTTGAAGGATGTTGGAATTACGAAACCCAAGATAAGGTTTAGTGCCTTTTAAGAGATCAGTTGTGTTTCTGTCAATGATTATCCTCCTTGTTTCCATTTCCAGCAGTCAGCACATCATCACTTGGGAGTTCTGAGAAGCTTAATTCTTCACTGCTTGTAAAATCACTTAAGATCAGTTGTGAAATGGGAATTAACATGCACACTTTAATTGGTGCATCTACACAGTTTGGAAAATGAAATGAAAAATGGTTATTTTAGTAGTACTATGACTATTTAAGAACATTTGATTTAATAAAAAATATTGACCCTTCCTACAAACCTTACCTCTCTGCTTTATTTAAACTGGCTCACTAACTTTTAGAAGTTAAGAACAACACATTACACTGAAATTCACAGATCAAGACACTAGTATCCTATTTCGCACTAACAAAATTCTCAATAGCTTTTGGTGCAACTTTAATAGTGACTTTGATATTTATGAACAGAAGAGGCCAAGACTAATTCAAAGAAAATATGAATTTGCCAAATATCCCATAAAGCGATTTAATGGTAATGAGAAACAAAGGACAAACACAGGCCTCCAAAATTCCCTTGGACTATCAAAACACAAGACCGGAACATGAATGCAGCCCGAGGAGCGTCCTCACCACAAATAAGATTGTAAGAACTGCCACAAGTGCAGCGAGAAAGAGAAACAAGTAACAGGTGAGGTACAAGGCAGCTATAGTCCAAAAGTTTTAAGGCCCAAGCTAAGTCCCTCTGAGGGAGGGGATAAGTTAAGTCAAGCATATTAGCTTAGCTTCTGGACCAAAGCTACCTCATATCTCATTGGTTCTGACAGCAGAGCTTATGTGCTCATATCTGGCTCCGCTGTTCCTGAAGACACTCTAAGGTATTATTAACATATCATGATGAGGTATACAGTTTAAACACAGAGCACTTGGAACGAATGTGTTTCAATTTTATTTATTATTTTGATATTGACTCACTGAGTGACCTCAGAAAAATCAGGTAGGTAACACACAGACTTCAATTTTCTTATTTGTAAAATGACCTACAGAATGTGCCTACTTCCAAACAGCACAGCAATCATTATCATTCTTGGAGTATTTTGAAGTAAATAAGAACAAGCCCTTAAAGTATGCATTTTCAAATGACAAAAAAAAATCTTTGGAAGTAGCTTCACTCTTACACACTGGAGTTACAGACCAGAACAACGAAGCATTATGGATCTTTTGTTTATCCTAAAGTCTTATTTTAAAAAAAAATTAGGTTTTAGATATTAGCTTCAGGTGTTTCATTGTTTTTGTATGATGAATAGTCAAAAAAGTACAAGAATCTGGAATGTATTTTCAGAGTAGCAATTTCAGGTATTTCATATTCGTACATGAAAGATTCTACTGCCAGTAGAAATGGAAAACAAAAAGTATAAAATATGATTTTTAATATAACATAAACAGTGACTGCATTCAAGGATAGGCATGCTTCTGAAAAGTTACTCTTAAAGTCTAACAATACTTTTATATCACATAGTACATTCCTCTCCCCAAGATGCAAACATCTGTTGATGTAAGATTTGTAGTAGATAATGAATAAATATATTTAATATTGAGACTATTACCTATAGATTTATAACAAACTCTTACACGAAATACATGTCACCAAACCAGTCTAATCTGAGAAGTTAAACTGTCAATCCTGTCACATACTCACAAAATTAGTTTCAAAGCTAAGACGTATCAACTTTTGAATTTTTCTTCTGATGAAAGGAAATTTTGTTATTTAACCTACATACACTGAAAAATACAAAAATACTACAAAGCGTAACAAAAACAGTTTTGCGTAAGTAAAATTACCGTCTCATAGCATACTGCTCCTGCAAAATGTCGGATAATAAAGCCTTCATCATCTCTGATATTTCTGTGAACAGCCAATTTCGACTTTCTAGGAATCTGGAATTAAAAAGTTGAATTACAAAGAAGAATTACACTGGAGAGCGAGGAAAAGTTTATTCTTAAAACATCACCATGATTCTGCCAGGAGCACTAGGTGTTAAAAATGACATTTCCTGCAGTACAATTGTGATGACCACTGCCGTTCCTGTTCAAACCAAAATATTCCAAAAACCTATTTTCATTCCCTTTCACACCCTTAGATACCTCACATTCAAAATAAAAGTCACCAGGATTGCTAACACACCAGCTAGTTGATTTTCTTTTTGCCTTCAATGAACAATTTTTGTACCATTCATTCTGCAGCTGATGAATAGCCTTGTCATATGAATAGGATTAGACAGAAGCTTAAAATATGTTTTAAGACCGTGTATTTTAAAAGGCCACTACCTAGTTGATCGTACACATACCGACACAAATGTTTCATTGCACAGCAATCCAGTTAAGCAAGATTAAGTGGAAACTTAAGGAAAGGTAAATGGATGACAATTTTATTTGGCTCCCTCTGCTTGCCTTTTTTTTTTCCCCCCTTCCACTTCAACAGAAGTCATGTACATAAATTGCAATAATTTGCATTAATCTTCCACAGAGTGCTTTACGTTAAAGAATTAACAACAACAAAAAGGTTTTCCTTGTGCATTCCCTATTTTCATCTCTGAAGTGCTAGCTAGACACTCCATGTGAGTCAGATATTCTCCAAAGCAAGCAATTTTTGAAAGGAACAACAAAATAGCTCTTCTGATATGAAATAATATAAATTAAAATGTGTTTTTATTTCCTTTTCATGCATTACATGTTAACAAACTTCAAATGTAAGTGAAGAATGTGGCTTTAGTTTCAGCAGGATATTAGAATTGCTAGAAGACTTAAGCCTTCAGTGAACTTTTCAACAAACGTAATAAGCAAACTTGTCTTTAACAAAAGAATATGGATTGTGCAGACTGGTGTGGTATGAGATTTCTTAGGAAAGGTTTTCATTAAATTGAAGTGTTACTATCAATTGTTCCCAGAACTATTTTAATAAAACAAGACAGACAGCAAAAATAAACCTACAGAGAGTCTGAAATGGTCCTTGTGTTTTTGGTGCACAACTGAAGTAAAATGCTGATCACTTGGTTGGGGAAGACGATTTTCTTCATCCAAAATATCCAGTACACCTATTAATTTTGCTTCAATCAAATCTATTAATAAAACAAAATATGTTTACAAAAATTGAATATATAACCTCATATCAAGTTATATAACCTCATATTACAAGTTTAAAATGCTACTGATCTGATTCTGTGTAACAGTATCTACAGAAAGCTGTTAATGCAAAATACAAAAAGTCATTGCAAATTAATTCTACATATCTGAATTGTTGATTCAATCGATATCCTATACATACCAAGTTCTAACTCCAACACAAGGAACACGAGGGAAAAAAGATCAGGCACGGATTGTTTGATTTTTACGCTGGGTCTCAAGTTGAATTTAGTCATCTAATTCCCAAAAGGTGCCTAAATGTTTCTGTGGTACAACTATAGGTCTTTATGGGATAATTGCTTATATTGTTGGGGTTTTTTTTAAGCTTTTCATCCATGTTTCACCACATGTCAAAACTAAAAGCATGAAAAGGCACATACTTCCATTCACAGCAGGATGCAGGGAGGAAAAGTGAAATGCATTTGTTTTAAGAAAGGCAGATCAGACTTGCGCATACAGTGGTGGTTTCACAATGTTTCACAAGTGTATTGCCTTGACCTTTCACATACATATACAAAAGCCCTTGAAAGCTGACATAGAAATTCATGCTCTTGAAACTATTAGATAGAAGAATTTTGCAGGTTTTAAAACTTTCTTGTATTATCTATGAAACTGTTCTTGTAAGAATAATTTTTACTACCTACTTTTTTTCTGTGGAAAGGAAGAAATGACTGATGCTTGTACTGCAGCAATGCCTACGAACTCTTACCACAGATCATATACAGTATGAGGCTATATATAAAGCACAAAGAATTTATCCTTATAAAATTTGAATAAGCTAATTTAGCTACAGAGATGACTACCATTCCATCAAAACCATTCTAACATACTAATGACTGTTTCTAAGATTCTTCCATAGTGTTAAAAAACTGTCTGTGTCAACAAAGCATCCCTCTCTCTTGTGACAGTTAATATTTCTAAATGTTCACTGCTGTCACTGGCCTGGTCCAATACCTTAAACAAAATCGTATTTCGACAAAAACCAACATTCTTTTTCTCACTCACTTCAAAAGGCAGTAGAAAATCCTTTTCTTCTGATTATGCAAGAACAGGAAAAAGGCACACATGCTGTGGTTTAACTAAGCTATAATTTTATTAACTTATTTAAGAGTAACTCATACAATGAAGAAATGTGTTAAATCTGTGGTGGGGTGTCATATGTTGGTTGGAATAGTAAAAGGGGTCATGACTGAGTGACTGCTACTTGTATTCTTAGGTAAGCTAGCCAAACCTTTTCTATGGCACGAAAAGGCAACAACTTGGCAACAATCTCTACAACTGACCTATTTTCCCCCTATGAGTCAGACAGAGACCTTTTCTTCCAATAGCCACCAGAGAACCCCTTTTGATCCTGAAATACGTTTCAAAAAAGAACATGCACTAGGGGGGAAGCTACCCCTTTTACAGAAACATGAGAGTCTCTAAACTATAACAACATTTTTGGGAACAGGCTCAGGCTCATATACACATTATTAAACACATTATTAAACCCCTAGAAGAGATAAGATTTGTATTCATAGAAGTCATCTATTTGCTGTTGCTACGTTTTTGTTCCCTCCTCCAAATACCTTCCTGTTGCTTTTTCACAAGATATAGATAAGAGGTTTGCTTGACAAGATTGTCTTTAGTTAAGCCAGAGCTAGTGACTGTACAGCGCTATCTGTCAAAGTGAAAACTTCTTCAGCAGAGCTACAGAAACTCAGAAAAAACAGACATTTTGCAACAGATGTTAAATTCTGTCACACTCTGCTCAGCCAGGACTGACTAGTTACCATAAGCAAATTACTGTAAATGCAAAAGCAAAAAAACCCCACCAATTTGGAGAACACAAGCGGAACTCAGAGAAAAGAAAAAAACCACAAAACAACATCATCATCATCATCTTAAGCCTCTGGTGTATATCAGGCTGTGGAAGCCTAAAAGCAGCAGTAACATCTACAGCCTGTTGCCTATAGTTCATTTTGTTTCCTTGCTCACTGGCTCAAAAAAGGTGGGGGGAATGGGATTGGATTTAATTCATGCAGTATTTTTCACCAGACACCCTCACACCCTTCTTCACTTTATTTACTCTTCTTCACTTTAGAACACCCCAGTTAGGTGTTCTAATTAGTTTTCTAGGAAAATGCACAAGAAATTTACAAGCCCCAGCTGCAGTTATTACACACTGTAGGACAACATGGCTCTATTACCAACGAGAACTGGAATGTTATACAAAGCTGGAAGAACTCACAAGGTTGCAACAGTCATTAGAAGCATAAAATTACTAGTGCTATGCATATTTTGCTATGCCTCTTCTGCTTGAAGCTTTTTTCTTCTATGAAACTAACGAGTAGCTTGACATACCTATACAGTCCTGATTATCTACATAGCGCACTTCATTAACCCCCAGGCCTTCTTTTTGGTAAAGTTCTTGTTCCTTTAAAAAAAAAAAAAAAAAAAAAAAAAAAAAAAAAGGTAATTGAAAAGAGAAAACACTACTCACCATGTATTTTTTTTACCCACCAAAAATGTTTTTTAAGTAAACTTGAAGACATTTTTAAATACAACATGAATCAACACAGATTTTAGAATTTCCTTCCATAGCTTAATACATTCCAACTTCACCTCCTTAATGATATGCCCACGCAATTAGATATTCCCATTAGGTATATGAGATACTGTCCAGTATCTGGATGCCTCATTTTAGTGAATGGTAAAAAAGAAGAAGAAAAAAGATTGTTGGTTTTCAAAAAGCCATATTCTTTTCTGGCACAACTAGATGTCACACTGTAGGAAAACAGTTTGTCAACTGAATTTTTTTTAATCTAAGCATAATGTGCAATCTTATGGAAAGCAGTGCTACTTTAGTAAGATTCTCTTTACTAAAAAAATAAAGCCTCAAATATAACATTAAATATAACATACCTCTTTCAGAATCCTTTCATTAAAAAACTGCTGCAGTTTTTCATTACAGTAATTAATACAGAATTGTTCAAAACTGTTGTGTTCAAAGTATTCTGAAAAACAGAAGTTAAACTTCTATGATAAACCAGTGTTCCAAGAATCATATTACATAGTAACTAAGAAAAGCTTCACAGTGCTAATATTTAAAGATGTGTTCAGATCCATATCTATTTCTTTCAGTAAAATAAAAGCTTTTACAGATTTTCAAGTTGCACATAAGACAGATATAAAAATACTGCTGAAGATCATATTTCTAAGACAAGTAACAGACAGTTATACCTGACAGCAAACCAAAGCAAGATGCTACAGTGAAACTGTACCAATACATCCTCATGCATCCATGTTACAACAGGCTGGCACAGGATATCATAGCTCTAAAGACCTGAAAACCAAAGGTTCCCTTTTTCACTGTTCTTGGACCACTTTGGCAGGGCTAGAGCACACCAGAAAACATGCCCTATTCTGAATCTCAGTGAGGCAAACAGCACAAAAGCTTTACGGGAACCATCAACACCCACCACTTCCAGGGAGCAACCAGGAGCCCAAAGTCCAACTCTGTAACAGAACTATACAGTCTCTAGGAAACAGTATCTTAATTCAGAGGCTTCGTTTGCCTGTCTGTCAGTATGCAGTGATCTTCTCAGGACTGAATGGGAAAACAGCATGCACATGCAATATCATTCCGAATTTTACTGGGTGGCCACAGTAAGATTCCATTCCATATTTTGAGTCCTTCAAAAGCTGCATCTATGTAGACACTGAATCTGAAACCATTACAAAGATGCCTAGCTTCACACTAATGCTTGTTAGTGTTATCAGGTCATGAAGAGAAGCTCTACACCTCCCCTACATTCTTGTGTCTCAGGAGAAAGAGGCTTTATCTGCTCTCTTAGTATCTTCTTAAGCCCTTGTAACCCATCCCACCCACCACCACCAAAAAGAAAACGCTCCCACTCTCCATTACAGAATTTATCATTGAATCTTTGGTGGCAATAACAGACAAATAGAAAATTAATTTTTTTTGGTAAGTATACTTACCAAAACCAGCTATGTCTAGAACTCCAATGAAGAAAGAAGAAGTCTCAAATGGAAAACACTGGTTTACCCTGTTCACTACGTGGTCAAACAGATGACTATACACCGTTTTAGCCAAGGCATCACGAGCATTGTTTGCTTGTTCCACTTTCAAGGGTACCCTAAAAAAAAAAAAAAAAAAAAAAAAAAAAAAAAAACCCAGATCTTATTTTTCAGAATTCCTTACTCTGAAATTCTGAGATTAGACTCTAAACTTAAAAAGAGCCTTTCCAATTATTGTAAATTAGGACACAAAAGAACCTGAGCTCTACGCCCAGGTAGAAAGCAATCTTGTCAAGTTAGACTAACTATCCTATCTGTAAAAAGAAAGAATAATGTTTCACTATCCTCAGTAGAAGTGAGATGCAGATGTTCTCATACTCGTTCATTAGATAATTAGAAACTATATTGATAAATGCCAGAGAAAGATATTTAAAATATATACATTCCCATCTACAAAAAATGTTTCAACTATTTATTTATGAGCTGTCTAATTACAATAAAACCTATAGTTCAGTTTTGCTCTGACATCTTTGTCCTTATGCTTTCATAAGGGCTGTAACTAAAACTGTAAGGCTGTAAGTTAATCAGTAACAAAAATAAAAAAACAAAGATAAGGGAGTGAAAGTTAGATGCAATCCTGAAATAAAGATTCTTTTTAAACACTGGAAGAAGGGGCCTTTAAAGGGATGAGAATTTATTCTCCCTCCCTTATTTATATATTTATCCGATGTTAAAGTAAATCAAAAGAAAAGATTTTTAGGGAGAGAGCTTTTGCTAACCAAACTGATAAAATTTGCTGGGAGGAACAGGGAGAACTGATGTCAGTATTTTTATCACACCAATCCTCTTTCTCATGAAGAATACAGGATGATGGCTGTATGCCAAAAGCTCTTATGATTTTTCTAAATATCTCAATCTGTTGGCTTAATAAAACAAATCACTTCTCCTCATATAACACCCTATATTACTTCTTCCCACATACCTTGCCTCTCACATCCTTGATCCACCAGCACTACAATAACAATTAGTAATAATCAAAGGATAGACTGTCCAGCTAAGGTGGTAGATAACCAATTATGGAACTTCTCAATTATGCAGCAAATCTACGTTTAAAAAATACCTCTTATCTGAACTGTTGAAGTAAGCCCTATGTACAAGGTTGAAGACGTCACTGCTGCAGAACTGCCCTGTCGCTGCCTCCAGGTATTTTTCTGTACACAGGAGTACAACGAACTGGCAGGCCGGAAAAGGAAAACTTAACACTACACAGCTTACCCATACTGCATCATTTCCTTCACTTCCCAGGATTAACAAGCACTAAACTAACTCATAATTATTATTTCTGTATTTTTTCAAGGATGATATTTCTGATGCAGAAACATGAGACTGATGGAGATCACTTTCTATTGTGACTGGTAAGTCAGGGAACCAGAGACTCTGTTCACTAAGGACACCTGCAGCTACATTACATTAGATAGTAATTAGCTTTAACACACAATCTTGTCTTCCACTAAGTATCTCCTGATTTATCTTAAGGTAACAAGTACTGACAGAAATCTTACCTTATAAATAGAAGGAAGGTACCTTTACATTCCATTCTGATACGTTTAAGAGATCAGAATACTAATTCCCACATGTCAACTGCAGGCCTATTACATAATACAATACACATTTATGCTTTCAATTCATTTTTTAAAGCATGTTAAACAACATGGCAGAGTCACACTTCTAGAGCATTTATTTATAAAATGGCCCTGTTCTTCAAAAATAACAAATTCTGCCATTATTAAGTAGAATTCCAGAGACTGCACAAAACCCTATTGTTATTTTAAATTATCACAGTATGCAACAGAAACCCATGGAAAGAAAACGTAACCCTGCAATGTGTTTTGCACAGAACCACAAAATAATGCTGAAATTGCACTGAACCAGTCGATACAGAAGAACCCTATTACAGAACTGACATTCAGCATGAGCAACTTCCTTTGTGTGAACTTGCTTTCCCTGAGCTCCTCCTTTCCTCTGGTCTGCATACTGACAAAGGAATCTCCTTCCTGCTCCTGTTTCTTGTCTGAACAGGAAAAGATGTATTTTCCTTCCTCCATTTCACCTTCTCCCCCTCTCCTCCATCCATCAGCTACTTGTAAGGAACAGAGAGGAAATTCTTCCTATTTTCTAAGCTATTTGGTAAAGCTGCAACAAAAAAACTTGTTTGGTCTTCATACTAATTTCTTCAGCAAGGTTTCCAGTGATCCACAGAGTCTGAGGCCTAGCGGAAAGAGCTTTCACAGGCTGGATTTACCCTGTGGACGATTCCAGAACAAATTTTCCAGAACATTTTCCAGAACAAATAAACTGCAATTAAAATATGTATAATTTGCCCATGGTTGTCAACAATTAAGGGAGAGAGAGCAGGTGAAGCGATACCCATCAGTCACTGTCACCCAGTCTGGTTACTGCTTCACGAATAAAATGGCCTGGATGAAATAACCCTATATATAGTGAAAGACCTATGTAATTAAAGAATATAAGCAGCACATTTGTAATTTGAGAAAAGTTAAAGTTCCAAAAACTGTAGAATTTTTTTTTTTTTTTTAACAAAATCATAATTTTTGAAGGGACTAGCCTCCCAATGTTTTTCCAACAGAAGCTTCACCACAAAAAAAAAAAAAAGGCATTTTTGTAATAAATGTACTCAAAAAGAAGGTAAAGGACATGGAATTATGTCAGTTCAATTTTTCACACTGTAAAATAATTTACTTTGTGATGACAGAGTTCTGTTTGACAGTCTTCTTGGAAAGGGAGAAACTGAATAAGAGATTAGTGCAATGCATTTACAGTCTACGAGGTATACCAGATTTTGAATACTAACATATTATTTCTCTCTGTAAACACACTTTACGTGGATGGCAAAAACATCAGCCAACAAGGTGACCATTATGCTCTTTTTGGGAGACTAACAATGACAAATAAATGTAACGCGGCTGTCAAGTCTCCCTGGCAGTCCACTGCACATTAGTATTTAATAAAATCCACAGAGATAGCATTTAGCATCACCCTCCTACTGTTCCTTGTTGGCTCCATTGTTCCCAGCAGAACAAAGCCTTTGTTATGCTCTAAGCACAGTGATTTCAGCTGAGCTATTTATTCACTGTGGCCTATTAGGACTCACATGATCTACTTGCACACAGAAGGTCCCTAAGAAAGAGAGAGAGAGAAATGAGTAGCTCTTTGGATTGCTGGAACAAAATAAAACAATGTACTTGTCAAAACTCTAATATTGATAGCAATCAAATAATTTCTAAACTACGCTACCATAGAAAAACCTGGTGGCTATTTAATATCTAAAGCAGTCCAATCCACTTTCCTTGTACATGCAGTAAGCCACACGAGGAGAAGATATTAGTGTCTTTATTAGCGTATGCTTGCTTTTAACTGCACAAGTTCAGAAAAGGCTAGGTAAAGAGGCATTAATCCTTTGAGACAGTGGAAGGAGTCCTCTGAATTCGTTTGTGCCATCCACAAAATAAAACATTGGGGAAAAATAAGATCTGCTGGCACAAAACCAGACTTTGTGTTTGCAGACTTTTGAAACAGTACACTGCTAACAACGCCCCAGGCTTATAAGGATAAATATGCTGAACAGAAAATCTTTACAGTCTTAATCCAAAGTGAATTTGAAGCTGTAACAAAAATTGTATTTGTTCTTAAGAAATCTTCCTTGACAGGGTCACTTGAGATGTGGTGAAAGAGAAGCAGTATATTATGAGACATCTTTGCTTTAGTGTTTGATATGTCCCACCAAGCATTCTCAAAAGGAAACTATACAGACATGCTTTATCTACATGTTATGTGTACAACAGCCAAAACTAATCTGTTCTCAGAGGCTGAGTCAATAGTTCACTGAGAGCATTTCCAGTGGGGTGCCATCTGAATCCGACATGGATGCGATTTGTTCAAAATCCTTCTGCTTCTAGTCAACACTTTCACTTAAAAGGAATGTGAAGGTAAGGGTATTTTCAAAAAACGGTCTGATAATACTGAATTAAGAAAGCAGAAAATCTAGCAAGATTAGCATACAAAATTATTTTCACAAATTGAAGATATGATCTGAAAATCCACAAGATAGATTTCGGTAAAGGAAAGTGTGTGGTGGTATACTTAGAGAATTCAAAAATGCAAGATGGAGAATAACCAGGTAAGCATTGAGTCAAGATAGAAAGGTCAGCAGTTATAGTGGATCACTAGCTGGATTAAGTAAAAAATGTTACTAACTTTCAAAACCTGCAATTCTCATATCGCCATGCGTTAATATGAATACGATCCGTACGGTTTAATATATTATTTTCTACTCTAATGTTATGCATAATACTGGATAAAGGTTCTCCTGGATGAATATATCAAAGATTTTGCTGTCAATTTAGACATGGTCTGGAAGAGAGCAAATAGTAAAACTTGGGAAATATCGGCCACTTGGAGGCACTTTGTCCTGCAAGACCCACGTCTTCCTACATGTAAAGGTCATTATAAAGAAAAAAATTATTTGTTACTTTCCATATCAGCTGATAAGGCAGCAAGATGATAGTGACTAAGAGTCCCCAATTTCTAATAACTGGGGGGGAGAGGAGGAAGTTATAACCGCTTTCCAGAAATGCACTGTTGAATATATTATGAAGAGAGTTAGATCTTGAGCTTCTAACTGAAGGCAGAATAAATCCTCCCCAATCATTACTTACCATTTGACACTGCATTATAACTTTTTCCATGGTAGTCACTATGAAGTTCTAACTCTTGAACATCCCTTCTTTCAAAGTACAGAAATAAGCAGATCACCAAGAAGTCTACTTGTTTGCTCTGTCTAGAAACACACCTCAAAGGTCAGCTATTCAGTTATAATGTATTACTGGAACAACAGCCCACACCCATGCTAAACTTAAGACTCCTGAATATGAGTTAATTCAGAAGACCTTCTGCATTCCCCTAAAAAACATGATGTTCAAACAGCACAGGATGTCACTGATGGTTTATTGTGCTCAAATTTTGTCCAGGAAGATCAGTTTCACCCTGGAGATCAGGAACGGGCACTGAACAGTATTTCCGCTACAGCTATTCTCTTTTAATTTATCATTATTGGTTAGAATTAGGTAGAGCTCAAGATTACTTCTCTTGCACAGAATAAGCACTGGAAACCTTCATTACTCAAATCCATTACATCCCTCGAGGGCTGAAAAAGACAATGCTCTCAAGTACTCAGTTTTTCACCTCATAAGTCTGACATAACCTAAGGATGCATTAACTAAAACCTGCCACCCTTACTGGCCACAGTGACATACCAAAGTTAAATCAATCAGCTGTTACTTTGTTTCAGTCCACAAGTTTATGAAATGTTAACAAATACTTCATACTATAAGACACAAATATAAATAATAGTAATAGATTTCAAAAGACATAAAATATGCAAGGAACTTATATAAACCACATTAATACAGATAATTAATTACGGCTTTCATATATTAAACTTCTGGTGTAATGTGCATAACGTTGTATTTCTGATTCACTGAAACAATCTGATTGTTTCCGTAAGTCAATAAGAAGTACCCATGCATCTTCCAATGAGTGAAGTGAATGTTAATTAGTTTCCTAATTAACGGATTGATGTATGCAGCTAAACATTGGGAATTACTTTTAATGTGCTCAAAACCATTTAGCCCAAGTTCAGTTTTTGATGCGATGTTTTCTTTAACTCCAGAAAATACACAACATAGAAAACCAAATGTTAAAACACACAATTCAGTTGCACACAGCTTAGCTAGCATCCCTGACAGCCTGCATGCTAGAAGGATCAGTCCTGACAAGAGAAAATTTGTGGTGGAAGCTAGAGGTTTTTCATAAACAAAAGGCAACTGTAGTGAAATCATCTTCATAAAACTCAGATTCACAAGAGTCGTAACTTCCACAGTACGGAAATGTCATCATCAGTACCATGTTTAAACATGTTATTTGCAATTACTCCTTCTCCATGTGCGGACAGAAAGAAATCACTATCCTACTTCTGTGCCTAGAAAGTTACCTTGGTAATAGCTTCCCATTCATTTCAAAATGAAAGGGATAATCACTCTTTTTTTAAGGTCGCTATTTAATTCAATAGTGATGCATTCTTAATAGCTACAGGAAAAAAAAAACAACACCACAACTTTCTCTTAAATTTATCCTGTTCCACTATTTTTTATGTTTCTCTGAAACAGTATTAACTTCGCAGTCAAGATCAAACGTTTGTTTACCAGCAACAGCAAGAAGCAGCACATTTCTGGATTACTGTTTGTGTTAGTGTTTTTAAAGCTGAAACTTGGTTTCAGAAGAATTAAATGTGGCAAACACAGGGACACTGAACACCCAGACACTGAGAAGGGTGGATATACTACCCTATAATTAGAGCATCCCAGACCTAATATCACAGGGCAGCAGTCATGGAAGCACTGTGCAGCTCCCATGACAAGAAAGATGCATCCGAGTATCTTCTGAAATATTTTAGGCACAGCATTAACATTTCTTGATACAGTGTATCTGTTAAATCTATTAGCATATCTAATTTTCTGTGTAGGTTATGGATTTAACAGGCTGACTGCTATACTTTCTTTGGCCACACAGTGTACTCACTGACACGTGAGAGGTTTTATAAAATGGGATAGCAACTTATTCAAAGCTGTTCTTTTCCTGAAAAAAAAGTCCATTTTAGTCAGACATTGTACAACTGCCAGTCTTCCAAATAAAAATAAAAAAACTCCAACAGCCTAACAACAACAAAACAAGCAAGCCTGAGTATCTAAAAATGTGCATTTGGACTAACTGGTTTTTAAAAAAAAAAAAAAAAAAAAAAAAATCAAAGCCCTGTTAAAAATTTGCCATCTCAAAATTAACACTTGCATGGCGGAGAAGCTATAGCACGTTGTTTCTGTTTTGAAGGGAATAACAATGTAAGTCTGCTCATCTTCTGCACTCTTGTATTTTTGTAATACCATGTTTTTGTACTCATATTTTGTACAGCATTAAGTAAGCATTTTAAATAGCTGCGCTTATGCTAACTGCAACTCGGTTCATGCCTGCAAATGGTCAAGCAGGAGTTTGAGACCGTTTTTCCCTCTTCCCCGTGGGTAAGAGAACAGACAAAGCCAGTGTCAGGAGGCAGATCCCAAAGGCCCTGGGCGGAGGTTGGGCAACGGGTTACCTGAGACCGCAGCTGGCAGGGCCAGGGCGGGGCCGGGAGGGGTCAGCGGCTCCCAGCCCCGGGCCACACTGACTACAGGCCCCCCCGTGAACATACCGGAGGCAGTTCGTTTCAGCGGCGTTACAACACGCGTCCCCCCCCGTCCCGTCCCGTCCCC